TACAATAAATGATCACATCACGGTGAACATGAGCGGCTTTCTCAAAAAGAGCCTTTCGTCTTTGAGCAGGGAGAAGAATTTAAATTAAAAGGAAGTGAGAATGTGGGTATTTAAAATGTGCTGCAGCCTTCAGAGACAAGTGAGGGGATGGGAGGGGAGAGTTGAGATGCTAATTAAAATAACTGTTATGCAGTGCATGTAAATTCTGCATAGATTTGCATATTCTCGGCCATCTGTTTCCGAGCAACCGCAGAGCAGCTAATTAGCATACAGGGTTGATTAATCTGCCTTGTTGCCAGGCGACACCAGGAGAGCCTGGCTCATTTAAATGAACTCTTTCTGCTTGTGCATATGTGAATACAGATCGGCATACCTCTGTTCAAACTTCAGACATTATTTCACTGTAAAACTACGATCAAACTGTGTCACCACACCAAATTATTGTGCTAGACATCTGCTTCTTCCACAAAAGCAGGCAAAAAAGTTACTTATGGTAACGTGTGTGATTGTGTACATCATGTATTACCTGTTGGAGGAGGGCTTGTGCATGTGCATTACTGATTGCACTTGTGGCTGACACCGCCTGCCTTTGAAAGTCCAACCCATTGGCTTGGATTCCTGAGGACAGAAATACGGTTCATGAAATGCGCTGTCAGATTTGAAAGATGGTTTTTAGTTGAAAAACCTCAATGTTCTGGCTTCACACAAAAATGAGGAATGCAACACAAGGAACCCAGTGTACTTCAGAAAAACAAACTGTTGTCAGGTGCAAGGAAAACTGAGTTTGACTAAAACATGTTTTTATAAGCAAACATATGTAACTGTAATCCAAAGTCATAAAACTGCAGGCCAGTGAGTTATCACATAATTAACACAACTTGAATACCTAAGAATTGGAAGCATTCATTATCAATATTTCCTCAAATCATAATTAAACAAGAATATAAAGCCAAGTGCCAAATTTATAACTTTCACTCAGAGTTTGATCATTTGTATCACAGAATCACCGACAGAGAAAATTAGCATGATATTCATGAAGTAAGCGAGGTAAAAACATCATTTGACGATGAGGACTGCTCACAAGGAGTTTGGTGGTCGCCACTGTTTTCAAAACGAGACAATAGAAAAGGTGGGCAGTAATGAGCTTTTACAGATCTGTGCTACAAAACTGTTAATCTTGGCTTTGATTGTGAAACCTGTTGAATGATGAGGTCAAACTCGGCACATCCCGACTTCAGCCCGGCAAAAGAAAAAAAAAAAAGCTGGTCACTCACCGGTGTTCGCGTCACCACTTTCCATTGCACATTTAGTAGTTTGTGACTGATTATTCACTTTAGCATCTGGAAGAGCCAGACAGAGACAGATAGTGAGACACACACACACACCCGCTGGCAGAAAAAAAACCTGACTCAGTCCCACCACTGTGATTTTTGAGAGGTGTTACAACTTTTATACCCTGTACACTTCCCATAATCACAATTCTCCAGAATAACATTTCAGTCATGTTCACCATTCAAAGCAGCAAACAAGATTAATCTCCAAAACAAACAAACTGCATTTACACTTACAGGTAATAAGAAAAGACTGACATGACAGTTGATGTCACATTAATAAAATAAACCCTTATAAGTGTCATTTTAATGCAAAGAGTGCCAAGCAATAACAAAACCCAGCTGAGCTTCATCACAGCCTCATCAAAAACTCACCCACTCTTGCTGCACCTGTGTTTTCCAGCATGGTTACTGAACCTATCAAGGGAAATTGCCTCTGCCAGGCAAACCCACGACAGGGTGTCCGGCACTCTGTTCCTCCCCGCTACTCCTCCCTCTCTTCACTGTCCACTGGTCAGCAGTGAGTGGAGTTTAATACAACCAGAGCTACACACAGACACAGTGGTGCTGTCCACCGCACGGTTCACTGAACAACACTGGGATACGCACACTGGGAAAGCCAACAGGATTTAGGCAAACAGCTCTCCTTTTCTTTTCTTATAGCTCTGCCCCTCTCTTTACAGTGCCCCTCTCTCTCTCTCTCTCTCTCTCTCTCTCTCTCTCTCTCTCTCGCCAAGATTGTCTGTACTTCTGGAAAAAGTTCACCCTCTCTCTCTCTCTTGCTGGAATGAACCAAACGACAAGTGCTGCAGCTGCCCCCCGCCCGACTCTATAATGAAGTATAATCAGTATTCAGCTGATTAAAGCCATATGCAAATCTGCCCCTGCCTCGTTAGCAATGCAAGGCTTTGAAGTCCTGCGAGCGACGCATTTCACACCAGGCTCTGAAAGCTTTCTGCATAATTTAAACCCTATAAATATTTATCAGCTCATTAGCATATTAATTGGATGGCTTTTGGAGGACGATAAAAAACAGGGGAATAAGGACGACACAGAGAAGGGGAAAAAGTGCTCAAACTAGCACTTGGTGCAGCAGAGGGAGGGGAGGCAGCAGCGCAAGACCAATTACAGTGTGAATGCATGGCAATAAAGTAATTAGCTAAGAGCAGGTAGAGGGCTGAAGATATCCCAGAATGCTGTGTGAGAATGCAGGCAGCGGTGGTCTGGGCAGACTGCATCAACATAATGTTTAAGGCCGCCTCTTCTGAGCATCTCCAGGAGTCATGGAGACCTAAAAAGGAGGGGGTGCAGGGTAGGAGTGGGAGGGGACTCGCTCTATCAGAAATAAATAACTCCACATTAATCCACCACAAGCCTGTCATTACTGCTAGACCCCCTGTGGCTAAAACATTCCACAGCGAGTGACTACAGAGAGTGGGTGGTGGGCTGTTTCTGTCCATGTTTATGAAGTGTTTGGGGATTAGCATATTTAGATTAGCTTTACATTCCATTAGTTTTTCAGTTTGGAGCCCTTTTAATGTCATTTCTAGCATGCTCAGAAAGTTAATATAGTGGGAGAAATGGCCCGGCTATGGTACTGCACAGGTGTCCAGTGAATCAGAATGACTGGACTGGAATGCATGGCTGTTTTGTGGTCTACAGTGGAAGAAGCTTACCAGCTAAATCCACAGCAACTGCTCCTGGCTAAAGCTGTAATCAACTTCTTCATTTATCCCAGCGTCTGACAAAAGACATTTACATACTAGTTGACCACTTTCAACAATGCCAAGAGAGCTACAGACTTTGATCAGCAGTGTGAGGACAAGAGGGGCATGATGAACAATCACAGACTCTAAACCAATGGTTCCCAATGGTTTTTTGTCTGATGTATCCCAAAAGCCCTATCAGATGAGTTCAAGTACCCCTGCACCGACACTACACTAATTAAGGCTCTAAATGATAGCATTCACTGTTGAGTAGCTTGCCAATTATTTTCTTCATTAATAGATTAACCATTTGGTATATTAAAGTCCAAAAATAGTGAAAAAGGTCTCTTGCTGCTTCCTTAAAAACTTTAGTTTTTATCTGACCAAGAGTACAAATTTCAAAGATATCAAGTTTACTGTGATATAAATCACAAAAAAAGCAGGAATTCTTTACATTTGTTGGTCTGGAACCAATGACTATTTCACATTTTTGCTAGAGAATAGACTGATCAGTAAAAAAAAAAAAAAAAGTGTTAAGTTTTTGTTTTTTTTTTACAATAAGCTAATATATATTTTTAGCGCTACACTTACTTTGATAAAAGTGAATATTTTTACATTTTCAGCTTTCTATTTCAATATCCCTACTTGCGTGCCACCCTATTTTTACAAACTTTCAGAGTGGTGGTCAACTGACTATATTGTATCCCTTCTAAACACAAATTAGTTTTTTTCAACCAACTCAGAATTGCTATCTTTGAAAATGCTAGAAGTAAATCACTACCCTAAACAATAAACACTGCATTATACTCCATACCACTGATTCCTTCAAACAACACAGTGTTAGCTTAACTCTGGCCTACTGTTTACCAAGGCAGCTATTGCAAGGGAAATACAGATGCCACACTAGGGTAAAAAATAAAAATCTGAAAGAGGGAGGTCAGGAAATAATCCTTGTGTTACTGACCTCCTCAACCATCATATCATGCAACCAAATGAGAAAACAAAGGAGAAGTGAATGCAAAGACAGTTATCAGCAGGGCGATTCAGCATGTACTTGGTCGAACAGTTTGCAAAGCCCTGCTGTGGAACAATGCATTATACAAATATCCTACAAAGAGAATTTTAAATAGGTATCTCATTAGCACTGTAATATGGGAAGGCTGACTGAATACAGCAGAGCCGTTAATGTGAGTGGAGAAATTCAACATGAGACGGGGGAAAAACTTAATTAGCACATCCACATTCTGCCCTGCTACCTATATATTCTTCATCTTAAACAGAGAATAGATCAAAACCGCTTTTCCACATCAGGACCAGTCTGAGCACCAACAGTCGGGATGTATGGTCACGACAGAAAATTTTTCAATTTGAGGGAATTAATAACCAAACAACATAAAGCTTTCAGAGCCAGTGCAGAATCAACATGAATATATGCACTACAATTAGCAGAACAGTGACAGCTTTGAATAGTCATTATATTAAATCTGATCAGCTACACAATCTGACAACAGAAAGTACAACCAGCAACACTGGACTGCAATAACAAAACCTAGGATGGGGTGTAGCCCGATGAATAGTGTTGATCATTAGCGAAATACATAGAGACCAAGTGGAAAATTTCATCTAATAGATTAAAGTGAAGTATTTAGAAGGTGGCAAGAATATTCAACTACTTCCAATTAGCACAGGCAGAGGTGCACCATAACTCACAGACAGTCTGAATTCACATGTAAATGCACTAACTAGGACAGCAATTTTACCATGAACTGCTGGTTATTTCACTTTCTTTGTAACAGCAACATACTGCACACTTTTAGATCTGAACTAGGTCCCTCACCGTTTACTGCAGGCCTCTCCCACTTTTCCCTCATCTATTTAAAGAAGGCACATTATCGTGACTGCAGAAGAATGTTTTAACTAGACTGATCGTCTTCTTTGTCCAGAAACTGTACTGTGTTTTCAAACTGTCCTGCTCTTTGGCTATCTTAAAAACCTTTCATGAAATTCCGGAAATTGTTTACTGATGCTCTTTATGATAGCAGACACATGAGTCACCAGGAACAAGACAATTGTTGCTTAGTAAATGCAGCTATATGTAGCTCATCATAAGCTACTCCCTGAATACCTTTCCTAAAAGCCCCTATTTTAGAGTTTATCTCCTATACCAACATGATACATAATCTCAGATCCTCATTTGCACTTAAAGGTATTTCACAAAAGAGGTGTATCTCTTCTAAATGCTTGACATACAGAGCCTGATCAAATCTTTGTTATAAAAAAAACATTTTTACAGATAACTGCCAATCTTGTAGCCAAAATGTCAACTCCTGTTTGCTATATTCCTAATAAGGAATTCTTGCTTTGCACCTTTTAGCCCAGAATGACTCCCTTTAGTACAGATCATGAGAAACAGGTAGTTATCTGTTTAGCACACACCATCCAGCTGCTGTTAGTTATGATTCTCTTCCTTCACAGTGAAAAAGCCTGTCTGATTGAAGCTTTCATGGAGGCCTTTTCTGTACTTTGAAATTGACATGCCCTGAATTTATTACTGAGAATGATGCATTATTCATAACAACTGTGTTTACATCAATGAATATTCATGATGGAACTACAAGGCTGGAATCAAGGTGGAACTGTACAACTGATTAAATGAGAAAAGTAGCTTAGCTGCGAGGATGACAGAATTATTTCTCATCTGCTCTTTAAGGAGCCCAGTTTAATAAGTCACTTATTGTTTTATGTAACAGAGCCTATTTCCAAACAGTGGATATAATTTCACAAAATGCTAACAAACAAACAAAAAAAACTGCAATATATCACATAGTTGTCTATAATATGATATCATTGTTACTGTGGTCAAAGTTACTCTGACATTAGTAACAATGCAACCAAGGTATGAATTTTGCATAACAATGCTACAATCTAAATCACCAGTAGGGTCTGGGACAGAAAGATGAATTTTATTATTAAAACAAGCCCTGTTCTGCCTTGCAAAGCTGATTAAGTCTTCCTCATCACTTTCCTCTCAAAACTCACAACTGCAAAGAATTAGCCTACAGCAACAGACAGCATGGTCAGAGCCAGTCACAACCACGTTTTTGAAAATGGCTACACAGGGACTCTGGTGGAAAAGACAACTTTTCATCTGACTTTTATTTTGAGTCAAAAATAAAATTTGCTTTATCAAGTAATAAAATCTTCTACTACAACAAACTTCAAACTCGTTTTTTGAAAACAAACTAAATTGCAAACTGCACAGGGTAAAGAAAAAAGAAGCCATCAAGCTGTGTCTTGCCCTGTCGTGAAACCTGCAGAGTGAATAATAAGAAAGCCCTGCCTGTTATTATTGTGGCCTTCCGGAAGTGGGCCTCACTACCCCTCCCTGTGCCTGGGGGGACACACAGGTAGCTACAATCTTTGTATCTAGCGCACACAGACAAGTTTAAAAGTCCTGCAACAACGAAGGACACAACGCATATAAAAACAACAAATCATACCTGCTCAGTCAGGGACAATGAAAAGTTGTACAAATATATTACGTATTCTAATGAGATGGCTTCAGAGTCAGACCAGCACCAACGCGATGTCAGACTTAACACCACTTCAAGTAAAAAAAAATGTGCTCGAACTAACTGAAATCAAACTGTAGCTGTAACTGCATGAGGTCCTTCAACCCAACATCATCTTTCAACATCTAACTTCTAATATCTCGTTTAGCCAAATTAAATTAAAGCAAAGTTAGCTCCTGAACCGTTGGACCAACTTATGAGGTAACGTTAGCCAGTTAGCCTCGTGAAAGACAGCCGTTTTAACACCGAACAGACTAGACCCGACTGTATCAACTGGCCCTTTCAGCCAGAAACTGCGTTCTTGCTATGCGTTTGTTGGTCCGCACAGGATGAGTCCCAGCTTCTCATCGGCCGGGGGAATATGCTGAACTCCGCACTCTGGCTCACACAGGCCCGCATGAATAAACACAACAGGCTGCTGTGCCTCCGCTGCGCCGAGCACAAAAGGCTGAGTGAAAAAGCTCTGCTATAAAATCACCTCGAGCTGGTGCACACTGACATGACAATGTGTGTTTAACCAAGGTTGCTACGTTTTTATTTGTTTACCCACAAACCGTAGGTGAAAAGAAACAGGCGCAGGCACTGCCTGGCTCGACAAAAATGAATATGCAAACCTCTTTCAAAAGCTTCAGCGAGTGTGCATCAACACAAAGCCAAGCGTTAGCAGGCGAGCTAACGCTAGCTTGCTAGCGTCTTCATTTCAATCAAACTGCGTTAGTGAACTATCTAAATTTATCACGTATGAATCAGAGTCACGTCTCCGATTACTAATAAAATATGCTAAACTGTATTTGTCGACAGAGGTATGAATATGTAGCGGCGTATAGCCGTCTAATCACACAAAGGGGGGAGGCATGTTTCCATGTAATTTGCCGTTGTACTGCAATAGCTCGTTTCCTCCTATGTCAAATTACAATTCGCTAGCTGAGTGTAAACTAAAACAGCGATGATATCATCCTGATCTGTTAGTCAATCTGAGTTTCATTTGTATTCCGTTTATTGTAAATTGTGATAACACCGTTTGAATATGAGTATGAATATGTAAAATGCTGTAATCATTACCTGGTCCTGAACTCTCATCTTGACTCGCTGCTCCTCCGTCCGCCATTTTGAATATTTAACCCGAAATCCTCCCAGCTCTAAGCCTGCCTGTGTCGCGCGTGCACGGACACACACGCACTCACAGACCTGCGTGCAGGCTGTTGTTAGCTGTGGCTTATTTACATACTTAAATAACCATCTAGCTTTTTGTGAACTGTGAGTTTATAAGAAAGCAAAGGGTCAAGACGCAGCTGCAGTATCTTTGACAACATGGTATCCCTGCTGCCAAATATATTTAACTCAATACCGCCAGCTCAATACCGCCCCCTGTATTTGATTAATTGACAGGCTTGTGGTGGATCAATGTGGAGTCAATGTTGTCGGTAAGGTCAAATTTATTTAGCCTATACGGAGGTGGAAAGTAACTAAGAAGACTTCATTTACTCAAGTACTGAAGTATAACTTTGACGTTTCTATATTTTACTTGAGCATTTTAATTTTCTGCTATTTCATACTTGAACTTCGCTATGTTAGTTGTTAGAGGAAGATGTGGTAGCCTTTTACTCTTTATTTGATAACTGTAGTTAACATACTACTTAGCCTACTTTTCACAATGAAAATAGTTTAATAAAACAAAATGCACTGTAATCATAAGACTTTATTGATCCTCTGTGGGAAATTCACAAGCTGCCCATCAGTAATTCAAATTATAAGCTTATAGGCTAAGGTAGTTAAAATAAGCTCCACCTTTACCAGCTGCAACATTAAATGTGATGTACACAATAAAGTATTAATAATTGTCATCCAGTATTTAAACAGTGAGCACTTCTTCCACTACTGTATTTATGTGGCCACAAAAGACAAATATGCATCTTAAAATATGTTGCAGTTTGCAGAAAAAAAGACCCCCAGTCTTTAGAGTGGAAAAATGTGAAGCATCAATATCATCATCATCTTTATCTATGATTAAGACCCAGACATTTTGACAGGAATAAGTATTGTAAGTACCCAAAAGTAATTCAGTATTCCTCAGAATGCATAAAACTGAATAGAGTTTCCAGTAACTAAATACAGCATGCAGGAGCAGTAAGATTTAGCCTGTTTGTCCCCAGAAAGTTTTAAAATCCATATACAAACATCAAATAGCATTAAAATAATAGTATAGGATTGTGTTGTTGTCCTTTTCATCTTGGCTTGTTTTGCATTACTATGACCTTGTGAAATATCTGGTTTTCTTTTGCTGGAATGTCTTTACTGAGGAAAAAGTGTTTGCAATATACCAACATCAGCTCATAAAAATCACATGATATCATTGAACAACTCCCTTATAAAAAAGAGAGACAGTGACATTGTCAGATGTTAGTGACCTTCCTTTGACAACAGAGGGGACCACAACCACTTCCTGCATTGAGCAGATGGAACTGTACCCTCCCAAGATAACAAAGTAGATCACATCCCTTCTTTGATTCACTCACCCACCCAATAAGCAGATTAATTAACAGGTCAATCATTTATATGTGTAATAAGGTACCAGCTGATTATTTTTACAAACTGAGTGATCCAGAAAAAAATGCAAGCAAATATTTCAGTATTGACCATTTGAGCTTATCATGTCTTAATCTGTTCTGAACACACTGCAAACAGCTTTAACCTGTATATAAATGTTTTATGAATCACTATAATGATTTTTAATCATAGGCTATATCACTAAATATGATTACAGATGTGTTATACCAGTTAAAGATGCTTCACAGGAGATGATTACTGAACAAAACAATATATATATTTACAATTATACTGTATAGGCCTACTGCTGCCTGCTAAATCAAAGTGTTAACAAGTTGTGTACATGTCAACGTGAATATCAACTCCCACTTTTGCTGCACATCAGTTGACTTGGTAATTTGATTAATGACAGAGAATTTAGGCCCTAAACACAATATCAACTGAAGCAATAATGTGTCTGTGTTTTGTGGTGGAGCCCTGGGTTAAATATTTTGGTTTTAGTAGGATGACTTTTACATCTCATTCTAATTGAACTGAACATTGAAAGAAGGACCAGGACTCAAGAGTGCCCATTTCAGCCAGTTTACTGTGATGAGTTCAAATGAGATTAACATCAGTATAGACAGATCAACATAGGTACATAAACATCCAATCTTTCACACCCTTTCAATCTCCCTGCCTCTCTCTCCCTATCCTTCCAAATGAACTCTACAGGTCACACTTACAGTATAATGACTGCAGAAATCAGTTGCATCCACATAGTAAATTCAGCCTTTTCATGGTTTTTCTAAAATTGTATGGCTCCTTATACAAAAACGCAGACATTCTGGTTACATGAAACATTACGTACAGTAGGAGGAAGGTCATGTTTAAAATATGCATACACAATGCGTACACAAGTGTCTCAGATGCCTCATCTATTCTTGGTGTATGACCAGGATATATGACACCAGTTGTTGCATGGACTACATATAGAATGAATTTACCAACCTAACAATTTCATTAACCTTATTATTTTAGTTTGTACTGTAGTCACATGGTACATATTCATAAAGATTGCACATAGAAAAAAATCTTATTCACAGACAAGAAACCTGTTGCCAGTTTGTATTAGTTGGTCTTTTGGTGTCTGGGGGTGCACAATGTGAACTTTATGCACACTATACTTAATTAGGACAGAGAGGTTAACAGAGGTTCAACAGCTCATGTTTGCCCCAGAGCCCCTGAACGGGTTCATCTGGTCATTCACAGCTCATGAAAGCCTGTTAATTAATTTTCATACAACACAGAATTGATTAGAAAGAAAAAGGTACCTGGAATGCTAGGAAAAATACAAAAATAACTGTAATTAACAAGATAAAACATAAATTCAACAGGGTGACCTTGTAATTAGCCACTTACTGGATGCTTTGATTGTCTTTAACAGTAATTCGCATCATTTAAAATATGCATGCATCTTTTGGTTATTTGTGATGACTGAGGGTAATTCGACTATGTGAGATGTTTTTGGATTCTAAAAGGAAAGATTCACCTTCTTTTTAACCTTGTGTTTATTGAACCAAATGGTTTAAAAGCAGTGGTGGAAAGTAGTACATTTACTATACTTAAGTGTGTTTTTCATGTACTTTTACTTTATTAAAATATTTAGATTTTATACAATTTTAACCCAACTACAGTTTAGAGGGAAATGTACTCCACTCCATTTTTCTAACAACTATAGTTATTATTTACCTCATAAAAAAGTTTATACAAGACATTGTCCCAGATTAAACCATTTGTTCCCATTATTTTGGCAGTCTTTCAGAAAGATGGGGTTCCTTGTCATGTTTCAGATGCCTGAGTTTTTAGCTGTGCAACCAAAAAGACATTCCCTTCTAAACATCTGAAATGCATCGTTTCATTTAAATAGTACAAAAAAGAACAAACAGGTAAAATAATCCACTATTTCATAAACCTGTAATAATAGTATTTGTAGATTGTTGTGTTGATACTGTGTGATGGATCTAAACACCTCTATCACCACTGTTTAAAAAAGTCATCATTATTAGTGTCGTGGAGAAATTCAGTTTGTGGTTTATATTTTCAGTTTATTGAGCGGGTAGTACAGTATCGGTTTCCTCCTCTCTCACATATCAAATGATCCAACTGAAGTATTCAGTTTGTCATAAGCTTATCATAAAGACAAGTTACATTTATCATCTTTTTTAGCTACTGCCTGTGCTAGTAGACTAATCTTTTTTGTTTTGAAGGGTCAGTGCAATACTGCAACCTGCAGGTCATATTGAGCACAACACCAGCTGCTGACATACTGTACAATGCAGCACAATATAACTTTGTAGGAAGGTAAAAACCCACTGATTGTTATAGAAAGTTAAAGGATTTATTTCATATGGCTTTAATGTTTTATATAGTAATGACATTTGATCATTAGATTTACTGAAATTATCTCAGTTAACTCTGGAGTCTACCTATTTTTTGGTGGATACGTGGAGTATAGTATTGTTTGTGGTAACATTTCTACTTCTCATAATCTATCATTTTTAAACTTTAAATTATTAATATTTTGGTTGTTTACAATGGCATATATACGGTTTAAATGCAAAAAGCACAAAATCAAGTTAGGATAAAATCACTGTCTGTACATTAATTATATCACTTTTCCTAGAGAGAGTCACCAATCTCAACCAACATCAGGCGAGAGGCAGCATACATAACAGTCAGGTCACCAGTCACAGGTCTGACACAGACACAGAAAATCATTCAGACCTATGGGAAGTTCAGTCACCAAACCTTTAGAGTAACCTAACCTGCATGTCCTTGAACTTACGTTTAAATATTCAATGAAAATGTAATTTACATGTAAATAGAAAGCTCTCTAATTATATTGTGAGTGATTATGACTCAAGATTTGAACATTTTTATAAGCACCTGTCTTTTTTTCTTGCAATTTTGGTTCCTGATAGTTTTGTAACTTTTTATAGGATTTTATAGGATTTTTAAATTGAATGAGAACTCAGACTTAAAGTTTGAAGTGTTTTTGCTGAAAAACTGATACCTTGCATTCAGGGTGATGCATGCAGTTTAAAAATACTAAGCAAAGATTTAAATAAATGTGTATGAACATCTGCAAAAATGAACCAGGATGAACCTTGACTCCAAGTTCTCTTACTTATAAGCAGTAGGTTATTCAACATTTAATAAATGGTTTATGTCAGACTTACAGTTGTTACTGTGCAGTATTTGGCCACATTAGGCTATAACATCTCCCATGATGATGTTTTATATTATTACAACTGCTTTACTGTATTGACATTCATGATCTGTTGATACACCCACCTTTACTTTCAGTATGAGTGTCTGTGGGAGTTATATTTGACCAAAAGACTAAAGCCTTACATCTGTGTGCATATTGTGTTTTTAACTGTTTATTAAATGCTTATATAGAGCCTACAACTCATAATTATTAATATAACCTACTGTACATATCAGTCAGTTAACAGACTATGTTTGGCAAACATTTAAGCTCTTTTTGTTGTAGGCCTACACTCCCCTCCTTATCACAGTCATCTCTCATAGGCAGGTTTAATACATGGATTATCAGATCCGCGATTGGCCCTCTGGTGACATGTGACCTATAGCCGCTGACTTATTACCTGGAAGAGTCAAGTTCCCCTTCCCTGGAAGTTCATCGTGAATGTTAGGTGAGTTCTCACTCTTGCACTGAAAGCATCAGTTTTAGATGTTTTTAAGACTAGATGTTTTTTATCCTCTCTTAGCAATGGCAACCAAGAAGCAGCTTGGATGGCGAAAGCTATTTCTGATCCTCACAGGTAGGCTTTATGCTTGTATTTTTTTCTCTTTGCTCTGTGCCACTACCACACCTTAGTATTATCACCAGTGTTAATCATTAATCCAACGTCTTGCTACTCAACCAAAAGCAGAATTTTGTTTTATGCAAAATAGGCCATTGGGTAAAATTAAGCCTGTTTAGTTCATTTGTTTAGAAAGAAACTTGATATAGGCTATTTAGTAGTACAAAAATAGTTGGTCAAGTTAAATCATGCCAGTTTTTCAGTCCTCCAATATCATAGAGAGCTTAGAATTAAATGTCATTTATTTAGCAAAAATACTAAATAAGTTATTATGACTGTGGAACAGGCTGATTATGTGTTATTAATCATTTATTTTTGCTTCAGTACTCCCCTGCTGCAGCAGCTTACAGGTTACTATTCCAGAGACACAATATGAGGTCGGAAGAGGAGGCGATATTCATTTGACCTGCTCCTTCATCCCAGCCAGACCAATCTCCGAGACACTCATCGTCAGATGGGAAGCTTATCCTGACAAGATTACTGATCCACTGGTGAGAGGTTAAACTAGCTGCATCTGGTTATAACATCTTATTAATGTGGCAACAGTGGGGAAAAGCTGGAAATGAAACGGAAAATCATAATGAGTTGAATACATGTTCAAGCCTCGCTGCCAACTGGGGCCTTTCTGTACGGAGTTCCCCTGTGCCTGCATGAGTTTCCTTTGGGCATTCCGGTTTCCTCCCACAGTCCAAAGTCGCGCAGGATCTGATGTCTGTAGGTGTGAATGTGCGTGGTTGTCTGTTTCTATGTGTCACCGCTGTGATACACTGGTGAACTGTCCAGGGCGTACCCTGCCTCTGGCCTAGTGTCAGTAACACCCCCCTCCCCCGTGAAAAATGAATTTGATTAGCAAAATTGTTGCTGATTATTTTTCTATGAATTGACTAAATGACTAATCATTTCAGCTCTAAGCAGATATAATCCTACCCTATCGCCAATATTATTTACAGACCAAAATGACAAATTTGCCTCTTAAAGCGTTATAATTTGATCATCATATCACAACCTTTATCTTTAAATCTTACATGACGTGATGACTTGTGGTGTGGCACTGATTATACCTATAATTATTTTACTTGTGTATATTTTTTATTATTAATACTTTATCTCATACTATGTAGATAGCTTTTAAAAATATGTTTGTGTTTGTTTCTCTAGAAACCTGTGGCCATCTATTATTCACAGACTTCAGTTGACATTGCCCCAGCTTACGAAGGCAGAGCCGTTCTGGAGGTTGACATTAACAAACAAGTGAGCACACTCCTCTTAAAAAAGGTGACCATGCAGGACAACCGCCGTTACCAATGCAGTGTCATGATTCCCCAGGATGATGAGGGAACAACAGCTGCCACCACTTCCCTTTTGGTCCTAGGTGAGAATTAACCACTGGCATGGTTGACATTTATTTATGTGTTTTGAATAACTGTATTAGTATGTTGTCGGTATGTTGTCTCCACGATGACATTAAATCAGTGCAGTTCTGTTGTAATAAAGTGTAACTTTTTGTGTTGATTTGAATGCCCTCATCCCATTGCATAACTGCCTTCGTGATATTAAACACTGGCTATCACATAATTTCCTCCACTTAAATGAAAGTAAGACTGAATACATCGTTTTTACTCCTGACTCCTCCGCTGTTGTACCTAATTTAGGTGCCTCAGCCCCATTATTTACTGATACTGTGAAAAACCTAGGAGTATTATTTGACAGTAGCCTCAGATTTGACAAGCAAATTAGATCTGTGGTCAAAACCAGCTTCTGTCACCAGAGGCTTTTAACCAAGTTGAAGCCCTTCCTGTCGCATGTGGATTTAGAAAAAGCCATTCACACTTTCACCACTTCACGACTTGATCACTGCAATGCCCTTTATATAGGAATCAACCAACCTTTCCTTCGGAAGCTTCAATTGGTACAAAACGCTGCTGCCTGTCTACTGTCAAATACTGCTAAGTACATCACCCCTGTCCTTCACTCGCTACACTGGTTGCCAGTGCAGTTCAGAGTTGATTTCAAGGTACTATTATTTGTATTTAAGGCTATTAACGGCCTCGCTCCGCCATACCTGTCTCACCTGTTGTCCATTCGCACTCCGCTTAGGGCTCTACGCTCCTCAGAGCACGTGTCCTTGGTTGTCCCGCGGACAAGATGTAAAAAAATGGGGTGATCGTTCGTTTGCCGTATATGGCCCTAGGCTCTGGAACTCCTTACCACCGGAGTTATGGTCCATAACTGAGCTATCGTCTTTTAATTTAAAATTAAAAACTCATCTCTTTAGACAGGCTTTCTGTGTCTAATAGGCTCCTGTGGCATCATGACGATGTCTTTTAGTTTGTTGTCTTACATTTATACTTTGATATGGAAGTCTCCCATTAGCGTTTGATATTATATTGTGTGTTTTTATTTTGTTCTTGGTTTTATTGCTTATGTAGCCAGTTTTATACTCCTAATATATGTTCTTCTGTGAGGCGCTTTGGGCTCCTTCGGAGTTGTAAAGTGCTATACAAATAAAGTATTATTATTATTGCTTTGTGTTCTTCTAGTGCCTCCTTCTGCACCACTCTGTAGGATTCAGGGAACAGCAGAGTACTGGAACGACATCACCCTCACATGCATGTCTGAGGAGGGATCCCCAAAACCCACCTATGAATGGAAGCGCTTCAGCGTGGAAAACAGACTCACCGAATTTCCACCTAAGACAACTGAAAGTATGCATTTCGACCATCCATGCACATACAGTATCTTTGGCAGGCTGCTGAACAGTTTGTTTCCCATTCATTAGTGTTAATGTAAAGAATGACAAACTGGCCCATCATCTCAGCACTGCTTTGTCTAATATTTTTCATTATGTTGCAGAGGATGGAGCTCTATCACTCTTCAATATTTCAAGAGAGATGTCTGGGTTCTACATTTGCGCATCAACAAATCAGATTGGTTCTTCCAGCTGCAACCTTACCCTAGCTGTGATGCCCCGTAAGTGTTTTAACAGGACTTGCCTGCTCGCTTGTTTGTGATGAACCCAGAGATAAATACCATTTCATTCTGCAGATCCCTTCTGCTCCTCAAAGCCTTTTAGTCTCATTTAGTTTGTGTATCTTGTAAAATCTCCCTGTAACCATGTTTCCAGTAACAGCATTAGGTAGCTGTTTTCAGAATGAAAGCTCTCATAAACTCAGTTTACACTACATTAGACAAAGTCAGCAATGGGCCGGGAATGCTCCATTTAGATGCTCCATTATTGGCCTTACGTTTAACAGGTGCTCAGAAACACCTGTATGAAAGTTGTATAAAGTTTCATCCACCTTGTTAAAAAAAGCCAAGTTGTTCATTAAATAACCCCAAATGAGAAAAAGTTGGGATGGTATGTAGAATCAAAATTAAAACTGAAAATAGTGTTTTGTAAATCATCTGTGTCCTGGATTACATTGAAAACAATACATGATTGCAATCACCTGTTGACATCACCTGTTTCAAATGAAATCAGCATTTCATTATTTTACCTCATTACTCGCCCTGAAATGCAGCTGACCCATCTTTTTTGGAATGTGTTGCAGGCATCAGAGTTGAAGTGAGTGTTTATTTTGAACAAAGAATACAATTAATAAGGTATCACTCCAAATAATGTGCTGCTGTGTTGTTTTCAATGTAATACAGGACACAGATGATTTACAAAACACTATGTTCAGTTTTAATTTTGATTTTATATACCGTCCCAACTTTTTCTGATTTGGGATTGTAGTAAGGTAGGACTCAGTTGTATATACAACTTATCTTTTTGGATGTAGTGGACACAGCATCAGAGATGAAAGAGTATAACCTCACCATACTGGTAATTTTGCCATCCCATTTAATTCAGTCTCATGACATTGTGTGTGCTTATTCTAAAGCATGGCCAAATAGGGATCCTAGCCCTGTACTAAGTGTAGTGTGAAAACCCCTTGCCTTTCCTTTTTTCTCCCCCAGCCAGTATGAATATTGGGTCCAGTGCAGCTATAATTGGAGGAGTCATTGCAGGTCTCCTGGTTCTGGGGATTATAATATTCTGTTGCTGCCGGAAGAAGAATAAAAAGAACAAGTATGCTGAGGGGTATGTCCTGTATGTTTCTGTAAACCAATTATGTAAGTGCATTGATTGTTAGCATCTAAATGATGTTTATAATTGCTTTAATGAAATCATCCAATCATCATTTTCTTTTTCTTCTCTGTATTTTGTTCCTGTTTGTCTCTAAGTTCCCCTGCAGAAATGGAGTTTAATGACAAAGATGGTCCTGAAACTGGAGAGCAGTACTTTGATGACAAGTCAAAGACAGAGCAGCACAGCCAGAATGAAGACAGAGACATTGCTCCTCAAAACAATTACAGTATAGGAACACCTGAACATGTGTTAGAGGATGATCAACACAGTTTTAATAGTGCTAAAGAAAAGCATGATGGCAAGGGAAGCAATATCGACTCGCAACCTTATGATGAACATGGTCGAGGAAGTCGTGATCACCTTGATGATAAATGTAACAATTACAGTGGAAGTAGGGATCGCCTAGATGATCAGCGCGATCGTTATGGTGGCAGTCGGGATCGGCTTGACGATCAGCGCGACCGTTACGGTGGCAGTCGGGATCGGCTTGACGATCAACGCGACCGTTACGGTGGCAGTCGGGATCGGCTTGACGATCAACGCGACCGTTACGGTGGCAGTCGGGATCGGCTTGACGATCATCGCGACCGTTACGGTGGCAGTCGGGATCGTCTTGACGATCAACGCGACCGTTACGGTGGCAGTCGGGATCGGCTTGACGATCAACGCGACCGTTACGGTGGCAGTCGGGATCGGCTTGACGATCAACGCGACCGTTACCGTGGCAGTCGGGATCGGCTGGATTACATTGACCACCCTTAACCCACAGAAACTGATATGGATAACCTCCTGTTACTGAACCTCTTTTAATGCCCCTTCTTCTTTCTTTGAATGCACTGAAATATATTATTATTTGTTTCTGGTTTTGGCTTATTGACCACATGACATCAAAAAGACACAGCAAAATTAAATTGTAAACTCTCAAAACCCATACATTTTTAATGTTTGGGATTAAATTAGTAGATAGTGGTGTGGCAAGCACAAACATTGAAAGGGGTGTAATTACTACAAAACTTTACATGGTAAATGTAGTTGAAGTAGCCTATATTTCCACAGTACTAATTCATCAGTACAGTAACAGTCTGCTGCTCCGAGTGTGTCTTCTTAATTCCAGGCATTTCTTCTTTGTTCTGCTTCTGATCGATGTAAAATACTTTTGAGACTGTCCTCCAGTAAAAAATGACTCTATATGTCATTTGTGCCAGCAGTTTATTACGATCAAGTAATCTATGTGACAAAACATAATTAAACCATGACATAATAATAACATTATCTTAATGGCAATCTCGATATCGACGGAGTTCTGGTATGTCTGCTGTCATGTTTATAGCTCTTTTCAAGATGAAATAAAAAAAATTCTGGCAACACTAGTTGACTTGATGGAAGGATCTTCTTTATGTTATCAATGCATTTTAGCACATGCCCTTCAGGGTAATTTTCCATGATGACAAAAGCTTGCTGTTGCAACATATGTTACTATTACTTTTTGTGAAATTCTTGTAATTCCCTCTGCCATAGGAGTGCTATTTCAGGAGATGCTTGTATGGGTTGTATGAGAGGGAAGGGACAAGGGACCCTATGGGCTGTATAGGTTGGAGGACTTGTTGCTACAGTACTGTACCTTCATCAAAACTCAACACTTTGTTTTTTCACAGTAAAAGCATACATATTGAGGGAATTTTAATGTCAAGGTTCTGGAGGAAATATTGAATATAATTCATGATAACTGTTTGGAGAAAAGGGCAAAGTGGAACACCTGGCATGACTGACTGAGAGCATCAGGGTACTCTTCCCGGACTGCCCCTCTGCAGTCCTCGGTCTCCTGGAAGTCAGACGGCCAACCAGACAGAGCCTCCGGCCGCAGCCGTGAAAGAGCTCTCTGCCCCTCTTTTTGCCTGGGTTTGTAAAGGATTCTGGTCAGTAGTCTTTGCCCTCTCATCCAACCAGATGCCACAGTTTGCAATTAATACCTTATTTGGCGTGCAAAGTCATATTCTTCTAAAGTAATTTTTAATGTCACAGCTCAAGTCTACTGCCCATAACTGGCCTCCACCCCACTGTGATCCAGCTTCGGACTCTATTACTCTATCATCTTAATGCTTAATAAAGATACAAGAAACTCACATCTGACTGAAATACCAAAAATTCCATCATTGCTTTTAACAGAACAATCAGGATTACACAATGATTTTACACAATACTATCAATGCATTAAAATCAAAACATTGATCTTTATATTTTGAATACATTACTTGACTAAACATTAATTATCATTGATTAGACATTGATCAAACATTAATTATCAGTCAAATCTTTACTTTTAGGCCTGAAACCATCATTTTTACTTTCTTAACAGACTGTGTGTCTATCTCTGTGTGACATACACACACTTCTGCAGATCCTCTTTTCGGGGATGTGTGTCTACTTCCTCTTATCTGTGATTCTGCATTTTTCACTCTTTAGATGTAAAATCACTTCTCTCCATTCTTTCAATACAATCATTTCACATTTTTCTTACATATTCACTAATGATTATTTCAAAGAGAACACGCACACAAATCATCTTATGATTATCTTAACCTTTCTACTTTATGCATTCTGCCATAGCATTTTAATAATTTTCCTCTCTCTCCCAGCTCCTCTTGCTGTTTTTTTGTAAACATCCTTGCTGTTCTTGTGTGAATTCTAACTGAAAAGAGACAATTAGTGTCATGGCCGCTCGGCGGGCGCTGCCTCTCCTCCTCCTTATATAAACTTCTGGCAGATGCTCCGTCTGGGCCAGAACATTAACATAGTAACGCGGACTGTACATGTTGGTAGAATGCTACGCTGACAGACACTGTGCGTTTTGGCTTGACTCTACCACACTACCTACGAGCTACGCTCATTTACACTACACTACACTACACTACACATCATACATATCCAAGTACCGTACCTTCCCATGCTATGTTCTTAAGATACTTTGTGTTCACTTTATTTACCTGCAGCCGTCATGTTTGACTTGAGTCCAACCTCAGTCCTCCCTCACCCTCCTGGTGAGGGGGGACTACCATAACAATTAGTTAAATAGTCTACTGCAGCCCTTCTTGTAAGGTTTCTGATGCCAGCTCCTCAGAGCTCTGCTGTTATGGCCTGTGTTTCTTGTACTTTTTGGTTCCCTCCAGGACCCGTTTGTCCCTGAAATCTCACAGCCAAGTGGCCAGGCTTCATCAACAAGCTGCCTCCTCCCTTCTCCACATTCACAGCGGGCAGCCCTCTCTCTGTCGGCAGACTCTGCTGCTACAGTCTTCACAGAAAAACGGAATTAGATTCCAGAAGATAAACTAAGGAGGCAACGGCGGTGACCTTAGCCGTATGTTTAATACACACACCAGCCGAGAAGTATTCCAGTTCAGGATTGTCTTTGTTTCCGGGACTCACCTCTGTATGAAGTGGTACAGTCCCGTTAGACGCAACCTGTTTGCAGCAGTTAGCGGACTACGAAACGACCAACATGCGGATAAACTGCACTTCACTATAGAACGGGCAATATAATGAACTTTTACCAGTTGGCCGTTTTACTGGGCGCATCAGGTAAGTCAAATACCCTTCACTGAAATGTCCTATCTTCACTAAAACATGCCATGTTTACGACAGTAACGCAGCAGGTTGGTCCTATGAAAATCTGTGGTTTATCCCAGGAAAACAGCACCGTGGTTTCGGCATAAGTGCTTCTCTTTATAGTTTTATGTGACATATTTTATTTGTACGAATTAAATGAGATGGATTGTATTAACCATAATAATGGTTTGCCCCGTTTTTAACTAATTAAATACACTTTAAGGGCTTTATGGGTCAATCACCATTCTGTGTTGTGTAGTGTTCATATTGTATTGATTGTAGGCTACTTTAAAGTATATCTCCTCATATGATAATAATATTCTCTATCTGGGCTAATCATTTTGCTATTGCAGTCGGTCAGTCTGTACAATATATACCATAGGTTACTCAATAAATGCAGAATTGTACATTGTGGAGTACAGTGTTCAATGTTAAGGCTTTACTCAACAATCAATCCACAGAAAAGTAAGTAATAATTTTTATTTTTGAAGCAAAAATTCTAATATTCTGTAGTCTCCGCTTCTCAAATTTAAGGATTTCTTTGTCATGTATAATAATAATAATAATCAATATTTTCAGTTTTAGACTGCTGGTCAAATACAGGATGCTATTTGACTAAATCTTGGGATATATTTCATAATTTTCTGACCGATTTTATAAACAAAACAACAAATGAATATAATAATTTATGGGTTAATTGGTGTAAAAAAAAAAAAAAGTAATCTTAAGTGTCATCCTATCCTTAGGTGTGATAGTGCACAAGCTGCTGGAAATGTGTAACTTAAAGTGCAGCCAAGGTCTCAAAATATTCCTGTGATGGTATATATGTTACAATAAATGTTCACCTTTCACAAACTTTCTGAGTTTGTTGTTACATTACAGTAACATTCTTCATTCTTCTGCCTTTTCCCCAGTTTTTATTAAGCAAATGACTCAGTATGAAGGAATGCGTGACACAGTAAAGGCAGGAAATGTGACAGGTTTAGAGAGGAAAAGTCTGATCGTGGCCAGGAAGCACGCAGCAGCAGAGCTGTGACCTAGAATACATTTGTGACCACGGTTTTATCTTGAACCTTTTGGCCTTTAGTGTGTACACAGGTAGAGAAAAAGCCTGCTGTCTCTGTAACCTGCTCATTAAACTGCAGTGAGTAACATCTGACAGGAACTTCACGTACACAAGAAGTGTGGTTAAGAGATGTATCAGTGTTTCATCCAGCAGTTTCCATGTTTGTTTCTCTGAACTACCTCTCACATAAAACTGATGGCATTCGTAGAGTAACGGTTTGGTTTAAATCTCTAGAAGTTTATTGGTCTGTTCACACTCAGCTGGATAAAGCGTAGATGCTCTCATTGGTTGGGCGTCTGTGACCTGCTCCCCCTCTCAGCTCCTCAAGTGGGACAGGAGGAGGGGGAGTCCCTAACAATGAACTGGTCCATGAAAAAGAAACAAAGGAAACACCAGTGCTATTTTGTGTGAATTTAGGAGTTGGATCAACGCTCCTCTTGTTCCTTTATCCTGTAAAACCTTTGACTTAATCGGCATCATCACTGTTTGTCATTTGCATAAACACGTGCAATTAAAATGTATCAGAAAAATCAGAAACCCAGTGATGCTCATTGACTGGGCTCATTGCACCTTTAAAAGGACAAAATTCATGAATTATTAACACTCACAATGATGAAGTGTAGTCGAAACAATTAGTCCATTATTCGATTTGAAATGATAAATGATTTGACATTTATGTCTGAATATTGATCAAAATGATGCAACTCTTTTCTGTTGATAGACTAATAGATTCATCAGCTTATCAGGAATTATTTAAAACACAGGGTGTGTTCTCCTACTGGCCCTAAGGAGAAGCAGGCGGGTGGACTTGCTTTTGTTTTGATTTCCTGTCTTCTGAGAGATGTTTAGAGTGAGTTCCTGCCCCACCTAAAGCTAACATGACTAGCAGAAGGCAGCCACAAGCGTCTGACCACTCCATCCCCTCCTTCTTTGATGACAACCTCCTGCCTCTTCACAGGCCTCCCCAGCCCCCAACACACACGATGGAATTTGCCCTGCTTGACCCTGGTACTGAGCAACAGAGCAGCTCCCACACAACTAATTTCTGTCTCTGCTCCCAGTTCGATTTGACACAAATTACTGTATGTCCCACGTGTAGAATCATCATGAATCACCTATATAGACAAGATGCAGCTGTGTCTGCTGTAATCGAGATGTCATCATATGCATCCTGTTCTTACTTTTGTCTACACTCCGATGCCAGTTATCACTGCGTGTACACTCAGATAAAACAAATGCAGTCTAGTGCAACAGTCCTTGAAAACTTTGTCCACCCCATGTTTTAGCAGTGGGGACAAAATCTTTTGTGCAAAAATGTTTTCTAAAGTTCAGCAAAGGTTTGATTTGATTTGATTTATTCTTTCAAGCATGTAAAAACAGTTATGTCAACACACATAATTGTACACATAATCCAATATCAATTTGCTTATACCTAGTACATGCTTGAATGGAGTAGGAAGAAGTCAGACTTATCCAGTCCTACCCCGTGACATCATCTTACCATCATTGGTTTGCAAGCAGTAAATGATTCACTTCTACCCACTTACATCACACACATATACTAAAAAAAAGATAACAGTGTTAACATTCTTACATCACACAAGTAATATACTAAAGAATTATCACAAAATGTACACCACACCCACAATTGTCCATGTAATTAAACATTGAGCCTGTTCTTGCATATATCTTGATTGACACATACCTTTATATTTATGTTTAAACTCGTCAATTCTATTACTATTTTTTATGTCTACACTTAAATTATTCCATAGTTTTACCTCACTTATGGAAATACAAAATCTTTTTTTGGTTGTACGTATAGCATGAATTTTAAAATTTAACTGACCCCTTAGGTTAACATGAAGGCTCAGAATTTAATTTTCCTACTTCTCCATCCAGTCTCAGCAAGGGATCGCTGTCTAGGGGAACAAAAGGTGAAATTATATAATAAGAGGATTTTATGTTTGACTGAATTTCAGTCATTTTTGTACAGAATGAGGACCCCCATTACTTACATTAGCATCACATTAGAAAGGGATCACTTCATTGCCACAATGAAGAGGAGGAACTACTACAGCACCCAACAGCTGTTGTAATGTATTTAATAATAATAGCAGCAGGTGAGTATTTTATCAAGCCAGACTGGAAAACCTTGAAATATGAATCAAACCTTTAATCAAAAAAATGAACACTGTAATAATTATGAAAGATTTGTTGCAGGACTGTTGATTTAGGCTGCATTTGTTTTACCTTGGTGTACTTCATAAACTGACAACGTAGGGCTGGAAAGTGATGGTTGGATTGTTTTTCATTATTTGATGGCATTTTATAGTTTATATAATGAATTGAAAAAATAATGGACATAATAATGTGTGAAAATAACTGTTGGTAGCTAAACCTAGTGCCCCTCTGATCATAATCTTGGGACAAGCTTTTTTCCTTGTGGTGTAAAATGAGAGAATAAACTTTGAGGGTGTCTGGTTTTCATTACTGCATGTTAAGTAGGTGAACATGGGGTTTGTCAGTGTTGCTGGACAGTATCATTTGCATGACACTCTTGAAAATTTCACTTTACTGCAGCACTTATTGCCACATTCTTTCCTTGTTTGTTTCGACTGTGTCAGTGTGTGTGTGTGATGGTGTGAATGTCATTGTGCGGGAGAAGCAGAGGCTTGCCATGCTCTTCCAGTCCGTGGTCCTCCCATGTCAGTACCAGACGGCCTCCACCCAGACCCCGGTGGTGCAGTGGTGGTACAAGTCCTACTGTCGAGACCGCACACGAGAGTCTTTCACGCTTTCAGAGAAACTGGGCATCCATGCCTCCGAGCTAGGAGCCACATCCCACCTGGAGTGCTCTGACAGCAGCCGCACTGTTCGGGTTGTGGCGTCGGCGCAGGGAGCCTCCATGACACTGGCTGAGTACTACAAAGGCAGAGACATCAGCATCATAAACGGTAATGTGATCATTCTTATACTCTATGACAAAGATATGAATTAAGAAGAAAGAGCTTCTGCAGCTTTGACCAGTGCTGTTTGCAGGAAACAGAGCTGAGTGTACTTTGTGTTTCCTGTTCTCTAAATGGACATCTTTTGTCTGTGTTACAATAAAGCAGGTGTTGCACATACATACACACACACGCACAATCATCACCTCCTGGTCTCACCCCAATCATTTATAGGCTCCTTTTAAACCTGAGGCCTTATCAAGACAAAACACCTGTGCTCTGTCCAAATGCATCAGTAGAACAAACCCCATTCAACAACACCATCCTGTACTCAATGAAGACAGCAATGAAGAAAGGTTCAATAACATGATGTATGAATCTATGTTGTCTGCATTAAACATCTAGCTGTAATATGTTTAACAGTATTTTTTTGTCACTTTTAAATATTATGTGTTTTGTTTTATTCCAACTTTGGAAAAATGCAAAAGTTTAGTTAATGTTGAAACAATTAGTAGCTTAATCAGTTAATATTTTAAGAATTGATTGTTCATCCAAGTAATTTATCCAAGATAAATGTCATACAGTACATTTGTTGGGTTAAATGTCTCCTATGTTAAGATGCGCTGCTTTTACTACATTTATTTCACTGTGAACTGAAAACCAAGAAACAACTTTAGGACATCATCTCGGTCTCTGTAGAACTGTGATGGGTTCATGTCACAATTTCCTTATTTTCCATATCTAAAAAGTAAACAACAGATTAATCACAAATTAATATAATTACCATAAAAATGTTTTACTTAGTGCAAAGTGTCAGATTGCAGGTATGCCGGTGTATTCAAGAAGAATACATAGATGTCAGTGTGTTCTGCACCCGCACCTATGATTAAATATTCAGAGAATCATTTTGCATTTAGTGTCCGGAAAAAAGTCAGGTCACTACATTTGATTTGATTTGATTTATTCTTTCAAGCATGTAAAGACAGTTGATATGTCAACACACATAATTGTACACATAATCCAATATCAATTTGCTAATACTTAGTACATGCTTAAATGGAGTAGGAAGAAGTCAGACTTATCCAGTCCTACCCCATGACATCATCTTACCATCATTGGTTTGCAAGCAGTA